GGGCCATTTGGCAAGACCCTTGTCTTGAAGCGAAATTTAAATAAATAAATAATATTCACATTCAACTATAAAAATGATAGTTTGTTCATGAATCATAAAAAATCCTATAAAATTATAAATCACAAGGTTTAGCTCTGAACTGAGGGAGGTTAACAGCAGGGGATTTGCAGCTGTGTCGAGTGGGGGAAGTCTTAGCTGTCAAAAGGCAGGCCACCCCCTTCGTTCAGGGCTCTCTTTCCAGTGCTCTTCTGGTAAAGAACAGAATCCTTTCCCTGGCAGGAGGAAGTCCTGCTGTCTCAGTCCCCCTCCCATTCTTTCTTCTGGACACACTGGTTTTTTTTTCGGTCCTGGGAGCTCACCATACATTCCACTGCCCCAGGGCCTTTGCACCTGCACCTCCCTTCTTGTCTAGTTGGCTCCCCCTTGCTCTGCATATTTTTTTTTCCTTTAGAGTCCTGAGTTGGCACAAAACCATGCAGACTTCCGTGGGATCCTGTGACCCCCTCTCCCTATCCTGGAAGCTTGCTGATTGCAGGCACCGATGTGATACTGCCCATGGCTTGCACATGCTGAGGCTCCAGGTAAATATTTGTGGAATGAATAAGCAATGATAAGAGCAAAACCCAGGCTGGTAAAGCAGGCTTCCAATTGGCTTAGGAAACCAAAGTCCCTACAGGGTCCAGCGGGGTCTGCAGGCCAAGCCCTGCAAGTACCAGTCTTGACCGTCACTGAGACACCTGCTTCCAAGTGACCCCCATTCTCTTCCTTGCGCTTTCTTTCTTCAATTAAAAAAAAAAAATACAAAGTGTATTTCCCTTAATCAGAAAATGTCAAGAACGTCAAAATGTCATGATATTAACAATCAAAATGATACGTCAGTCTTGCCAATGAGTGGGAATCTTAGGGAGCCAGGCTCCCTGTTCTTCAGGGCTCACCCAGGCAAATAAAACAATGATCTTTTTCTAATTTGCTAAGTGTAATTGCTGGGTAATTTTAAGGCAGATTTTTTTTTTCTTTTTAGGTTTTTGAACTTTATGCAGTGGGATGACTTTTAACGGCTCAAATAACACAAAAGGGTCAATTGATTGTTTAACTGTTCCTTAAGGGGGACCCTAGCGGATCCAGCCTGATTCTTTGACTAATGAGAAAGGCCCAGCAGAGTCAGCAGATGGCAGTTTTCACCTTGTTTTATAAAACAGGAAAATGCTGCCATGATGTAGATTCGGGCACTTAAAACTGACCCTCCCCCATCCCTGAAAGCCTCCTCCCCACATTGATTTAAGCTCTGGGAAGAGAATTTGTTGAAGGGAATATGTGAGAACCCATCAAAAATGCATTCGCCAAGCATCCGGCAACTCCTCTGCCCTCTGTCCCAAGCCCGAGGCAGCTGGTGCTTCCTTCCTAGGTCACCGTGACCGCTGCTGACGGTGGTGACTTACCTTAAAGCTGAGGCCCAGGAAGAGAAAGCAGTCCATCATTTTTATGCCCCAAGTGCAAGTCTGTTTCTGTCTATATGATAACTGTCCTCCTCAGTTCCCTTTCCAAAAGCTCGTTAGTATCAGGGGCTCCCCGTCTCAGTCCTGTGCACCCCTGTGAATGCTTCTGTCTCATTTTATGAGACCATAAGCAATGACCCCGGTGTCACCTCCTCATGCTGTGTGCCCGGCTCTCTGTATGCATTTTCTCACTGATCCCCACATTCCTGAAAGGTGGGAGGTGCACAGGTGGGGAAATGAGCCCAGAGCCACGAGGCAAATTGCCTGAAGTCACACAGCGGCAAAACGGCCTGAAGAGCCCAAGCCCAGCTCTGTCTTCACCAAAGCCTGCACTTTTAAAAATTATTAGTTTTCTGATATCATCATTGGACCCAAAATGGAGAGTCCCTGCTCCCACTTCAGCCAGATGGGAAGTAGAATTGCCTAAAATCTCACTCTTGGGCTAAGAAGAAACTTCAACTCATTTTCTTTGTTTTTACTACTTTGTCACCGAACAGGTTTCTTTTTTTCCTTGTTGGGAGACCATGTCATGGGTGAAAAGTAGGTCTGCCAAATTTATGATGAACACTCTCAGAAAACTAGCAACACAGGGGAAACTTCTCAGCTTGTTAAGGAACATTCTCCAAACTCACTGGAGTTAACTTCATATTTAACGGCAGAAGATTATGCTGTCCCCTGAAAATCGAGAAAAGGGCAGATATGAAGGTTGCACTACTTCTACTACTCTTGCTCTACAGAGTACTGGAGGTCCTAGCCATTGCAATATTATAAGAAAGTTAAATTAAAGGCATAGAGATCACAGAGGGAAAACATGAAACTGTTCCTGCTTGCAGATGATGTGGTTATTTACATATCAAATCCCTTGAAAGTTAAGGTTGCAAGTTACCCTGTGAGCATGCACCAACCAGCCAACCCACCCACCCGTATTTCTATATTCTGGCAATAGATAGGTAGAAACCAAAATTAAGAGTATAATATTATTTACCATCAATAATGGCAAAAGAGAAATGCTTATGCACAAATCTAATGAAATGTGCCCAGGACTTGTGACTATAAAAGACTCAGAAAGAGATCAAAGAAGACCCCACAAACAGAACACTCCTCATGCACGGCCGGGAGATGACATTGTCTAGATAACCATTCCTCTCAGGTTTTTAAACACAGGTTTAAACAGTTCCTGCCTAAATCCCAGCAAGAAGCTTTATAGATATAAACAGGGTCATTCTAATAATCTATATGGAAAAGCAAAGGAACTAAAATAGGCAGTTTTGAAAAATAGAAATGAAGCGGGAGGAAGCCCGCTGACGGTTGAAGGCTTGGAGAGCTGCTGTGGTCACAGCTGCCTCATGTCAGCAGAGGGACGGGCACAGAGATCCACGGAACATGATACTGAGCTCAACATGGTCCCCACACAAGTGCAGCCAGAGGACTTCAGAGAAAAGTACAAAAGCAATTCAACGGTGCTCTTCCAAGAAATGGTCCTCCAGCGACTGCCGACCCAGGGCCAAATAACGGACACCGACCTGGACTTAGGATGTGACCAAAAGGGATCAGAGTCGTGTGTAGACTTGAATATAAACACACAATGTCAAAACGGCTAGAGGAGAACGTCGGAGAGACCTCGGTGTTTCACGCGCACATGGACGTGTCCCAGGTGACGCCAGAGGATCTGCCAGAGAAGGGGGAGACGTCCCCCTCCTCAAGAGCGAAAGCTTTGCCCGTGAGAACCCCTGTGAGGTGAAGAGACCAGCCACAGGCGGGAGGAGACAGTCACAGCCAGGGAGCTGACAAGGACTCTCAGAAGCCCACAGAGAAGGCTCAGGCCGTCCAACCAGGAGAAGGACCCGAGGCAGGGAGGAGCATTTCACCTCCGAGGACGGGAACAGGCAGCTACGTTCCGGAGAAGATGCCCAACCTCGCTAGCCACAGGGGAAACGCAGACCAAGAGCATGAGGTGCCACAGCTGCTGACCAGGACACCCACAGGGACAGCAGGGCGACATGGTGGCCAGTGAGCCTGCAGTCACACGCGCATCGCTGGCGGGAATGTGAAACAGTCCGGCCACTTTGGATAACCGGCTGGTGACTTCTTGCATTTACCATGTGGTCCTGCCTCACGCTCCCGGGCACTGATCCTGAGAGATGAAAACATGTCCACCAAGATCCTGGACACGACGGTTTCTGTACAGAATCCTCAAACTGGCCACCATCAAACTGTGCTTTGGAGTGTGCACGGTTAACACGGACGCTGTCCAGCAACCAGGAGGACCCAGGGACGGTCTAAATGGATCTCAAAGGCCGACGGAAAAACAAACAAAAACAAACCCCTAGTCTCAAAAGGTCACCCACTGTGTGACTTTATTTATGTAGCACTCTGAAAATTACAGAGGTGGAGGTTAAATGAGTGGTTGCTGGGGTCACGCATGGGGGCGGGTACTGTGACTACCCAGGGGTACCACAAGGGGCCTATGGTGCTGCCACTCAGTTGCTACACATGAACCTATACGTGTGACACAATGACATAAGAACACACACACACACACACACACACACACACACACACACACAGGACCAAGGCCGGCTTCCTGGTTCTGATATTGTTAGACTCACATAATATGCATCCACTGGGGATCACTGGCTGCCGCACACACTCCATCTCTCTATAATTATTATTTCAAAAGAAAGAATTGAGCATGTAAGCTGAGCAAGTCTGAGAGAGCCGCTTCCCACAGGCATAGAGGATTCTGCTGTTTCTCTTTCCACTTTAATATTTTAACCCCCTTCAATATTTAAAAAGGAGCAAAGCCGCTGTTTTTATTATTCCTTTCTCTTTTCCAACTTCCTTGACTGTCAATGAGCTGAGGCTTTCAACCAAACTAGTGCTAAATCAAGAAAGAAATGCAACGAAAAGGGTGCGGTGGCCGAGTCCAGGACTTAGCCTGGTGGGCTCTGAGGGGCCCAGAACCGTCCCAACGGGCTTTGAGAAGAGAAAGAGGGACCAGGAGCAGAGGCGCACACCTGTAATCCCAGCGGATTGGGAGGCTGGGGCAGGAGGATTGCAAGTTCAAAGCGAGGCTCGGCAACTCAGTGAGGCTGTAAGCAACTTAGTGAGACCCTGTCTCAAAACTACAAAGGGCTGGGATGTGGCTCCGTGGTTAAGTGCCTGTGGGTTCCATCCCCAGTTACCCACCTCTCCAAAAAAGGGAGCGAGGCCTAGACCAGAGCAGGTGGAGGTCAGCGTACCAGCTCCACACCTGCTTTCCAGATCGGCCCAGAAGGCTGTGGAGGGCCTTTCAGTGGGGCATCCACGATGTGTTCAGCAAAGGACAGACTGGCTGTCATGCTGCCCGTGCTCAGGGGCTCGGCTTATCCACATTGATTCTTGGTAGCACAAGGAGCGCTGTGGCTGCTGTGCTTCAAGAGGTGGGCGTCCCTGGGTTCGGGGGATGGCTGGAGGGGCGTGGGGCTGAGGTCGGGGTGGGGGGCAGCTGGTGAGCCTTCTTACCTCCAAAACAAGGTCTGAATCCTCATGCTTCCCAATTGTGGTACTTTTATTCAGGACAAAAAAGCCCTCGGCACTCTTTAGATAGGCTTTCATTCTCTTTTCTTTTCCTGTATGAGGTTTTCAGAAAGAATTTTGTTAGAAACATGCAGCCCTCCGGCTGCTCAACAGTATCAGTTTTAGAATGAATGAAATCCCCATCGAGTTGAAAGCAAAGGGAAAGTCCGCAGACGGCCGTGGGCCCCGGACTTGACCGTGATCACCAAGCCAAGTCTGCATCTCTTCAGGAGTGTCTTGGCTAACTGACAGTGC